GTACGGCGCGTATTTTGGTTAGGGATTCGCGTGGAAATGAACAAAGCGTCCGTGCACTGCTGGACAGCGGAGCCCAAAATAGCTTTATAACGCGACAATGTTGTCAGCGCTTAGGCTTAGTAATAAATAGGTCACTTTCATGTCCTATAGTCAAAGGCATCGGAGGTACTAGTAAAACTACCCAGGGATATATAAATTTAAAATTTTATTCTCGGATAGATCGTAATGTTAACTTTGATATAAATGCACTAGTAGTGGATAGGGTCACTGAACGGCTACCAACCGTTTCGGTTGACACCTCGGCAATGATTGAATTTAAAAATTTGACTCTAGCGGACGACACTTACGCCGTTCCTGGAAACATAGACATGCTCATTGGAGCATCGCTTTTCCCTCATCTTTTGCTAAACAATAAGGTCAGGGGCAACTCCTCGCATATCGCGACTTACGCACTGGAAACCGTATTGGGCTACGTCATCATTGGCTCCGCCCCCATCATGGATAGTATGGCTGTCGAACCGCTCGAGTCGTTAGTCCGCAAATTTTGGGAGATGGAGGAGGTGAACGTCCCACCCATAGCTAGCTCAGATGACAGATTATGCGAGGAAATTTACGTCCGCACGACCGTTCGTGATCGCGACGGTAGATATAGTGTAGCGCTACCCTTTAAAGGAGATGTTTTATCTCTCGGCGATTCGCGTCAAATGGCGGAAAAACGTTTCTACAGCTTGGAGCGTAGGATGCTCGCTTCACCCCAGTTAAAAGAAGCTTATGACGGCGTCATTAACGAATATATAAGAGAAGGTTACATATCACTCGTGGCTTCGAAATTAGATAATTACGAAGACACACCGTCGTATTTCATACCACACCACGGGGTCATTAGGGAGGACAAACTTACATCTAAGTTACGTGTAGTGCTCGACGCTAGTGCTAAAACTAGCACTCACCTGTCGCTTAACGATATCCTCTATAGTAGGCAAAATTTACAGGGCAGTTTATTTAATATAATAGCCAATTTTCGTTTGTTTAGTATAGCACTATCCGCCGATATTCGCCAAATGTTTCTTTGCATAGGGGTCCGTGAATGCGACCGTAGATTCCAACGCATTTTATATCGTTTCAACCCAAAGGAACCTCTAATGGTGTTTGAATTTAACCGCGTTTGTTTTGGTTTAAAGTCGAGCCCATTTCATGCGTTACGCACGGTGAAACAGCTCGCCCACGATGAAGGTCCCTCTTACCCTAAAGCTAAGAGGGCAATTGAGAGCGGTTTATATATGGATGATTTTGTATACTCGGTCGATAGCGTGGAGGAGGCTACCCTAACCACCGCCGAGGTTATAAAGCTCATGAAATCGGGTCAATTCGATCTTGTGAAGTGGACTAGTAATTCGCGTCCGGTTTTAGATACAATCCCACTATCACACCGTCTTTCGGCGATAAAGGAATTCGACGATTCTGATACACACAAGGTGCTCGGTCTGTGTTGGTCACCAGAGTCCGACGTGTTTAGCCTTAAGGTAAATCCGCCCGTAGAGAAATGCACAAAGCGCACAATACTGTCATGCGTTGCTAGATTATGGGATGTCATGGGTTTCGTAGCTCCGGTGGTATTATACGCTAAGCTTTTGATTAAACAACTTTGGTTATTTGAATGCGATTGGGATGATTTGCCGCCTGACAGCATTGTACGGTTGTGGCAGCATTTTAGAGAGGAACTTCCTTTACTAAGAGAAATTAAAATACCGCGTCATATAAACGTCGATAGAAATAGCGTCATAACGGTCGTTGGGTTTGCAGACGCCAGCGAGAAGGCTTACGGGGGCGTTGTATATTTCCACGTTCAGAATAATGGTAGAAATTCGATTAGCCTCATTAGTTCTAAGTCGAGAGTCTCCCCCCGTAAGGTTGTCTCTCTGGCGCGCTTAGAGCTTTGCGCAATATTAGTACTCACCAAGCTTATTACCGCAGTTATCAGCGCATGTAGGGATAGAGTTCACATAGAAAGGATATTTGCCTTTTCCGACTCCACCGTCGCCTTATGCTGGGTTCATTCTTCACCCCACCGTTGGGATACGTTTGTCGCGAACCGAGTGGCCAAGATCCAAGACGAGTTAGAAACGCGGAACTTTTATCACGTGTCCGGTACGGAAAACCCTGCCGATTGTCTATCCCGTGGACTCACCCCGATGCAAATAATGGACCACCCGCTTTGGTTCCACGGACCTTCTTGGGTTCACTTGGATCCCTCGCAATGGCCAATAACCGATTTCGAACCTTCGTCAGTGTCACAACCGCCGGAAGAGAAGAGACACGCTCTAGTGGCGAACGTTTCGAGCGAGGTTTCTCCAATCATTGCTTTGGCGAACCGCTTGTCCTCTTGGTCGAAATTATTGCGTAGCGTAATTTATTACAATTTTGGGGGCAATTGGGAGACTAACATTAAGAGTCTAAAGAGTCACTTATACCGAGTAATAGGAGATCAAATTTTGTAGTCCCCTTCGAAGAGCTAAGTACGGTGCTCGCTCAAATTGAATGCGTAATGAATAGCCGCCCACTTTGTCGTACATTGTCTAGTGACCCCTCGGAACCGCTGGCTCTAACTCCAGCACATTTTTTAAATTTAACGCCTTTAAAGTATTTGCCCGCCGTAGATATGGATGAGAACAGACTTAGCATTTCCGCACGCCACAAATTATTAGACCGGTTAGTGCAATCGTTTTGGAAACGATGGAGGATGGAATACTTGCATACTTTGCAGTCTCGGCATAAATGGAACGCAGCAACTGAGCCTTTAGCTGTAGGAACTGTAGTTGTGCTCACCAAAGAGAATACGCCGCCTCTTCATTGGCCGTTAAGAATTATCGAAGAGGTCTTTCCCGGTTCCGACGGAGTAATTAGGGTAGCTCGCGTTAAGACCACGGTTGGGTCTTACCTGCGTCCTGTTGTCCGTTTGTGCCCCTTGCCTCTTCCATAATTTAAATTAGCTTTCTAGATTAGAAATTGTAGTTGAATTTAGGTAATCTTAGCGTTAGTTAGTTATTTTGTTAGTTTGATCTTAGCTCTAGTTGTTTTAGTTATATTTTGAAGGAAATCCTTCAAGGGCGGGGGGAGATGGTTGCGCGGAAAACCATTCGTATTTTATTTATTTTGACGGTAGGCTGCCAAATCGGTTATCCCTTTCCAAAACGATATCATTCATACCCTCCTATCGACACATCGGGGTGGTGGGGTGGGAGGGGAAAGAAGATGATTCTAAAATATCACGTAATCATCGCAACCGAAGGTATAAAAGGCACGCGCGACCGACGCGCACTCTCTTCCCGCCGCGCTCGTTGTTGGAACCACACCGCTAGTAGAACCGCTTTAGCCTGGAAGCAGTCGAGCTCCAGGAAACCCGCCTCACCTCGTGTGAGATATAGTCGCGCACCGCCTCTCTCCAGAGTGTCTGTCCAGAAGAAGTTCCAGAAGTCGCAGCTATAGTGCCCAACAGCATAGAAGAGACACCCCGGTGAGTGAATATTCCTAATAATACTGCCTGCTTGATATAATTGTGTTTTAACCCGCTTTAATTTTGTTTTCTCCTAATCAAGCAGGATTCCTTTCATCGATTTGGCAAATAATAGTTCGTTTTTAGGGAAGAGCGAGTGCATTGTACCGCATGCTATAGTCGCCGTTTATATAAGTGTAGAAACATTTTATAGATACAGTCCACTTAGGTTAATAGCTCGCGTAATAGGTTTAAGGTTCGACCGGGGAATTAGACTTCGGCAACCTTAGGCTCGACGCTCCACCACGGACCAAAAATTAATATTAAAAAAAAACTGAAGGTAGTCGGACTAACTATGACATTGGGACGTCAAACATCTCAGTTCCCCCCGTGACCACGGGTGCTGTAAAGCACCCGAAACGTCGGGATAATAATAAAAATAAATTAAAGTAATTAAACGCGATAAAATCCGCAAATAATAGTTTTATTCAATCATGTAGTGTTCGCGTAAATTTAAGAAATCATTATAAGAAACTTCTGATTATGTTTCCGTTGCTAGAACATCGAACAAACGACCAAAGAACGACCTCACCAGTCCTTACTGGTTCAGTACGTCTGTCCATTTTCCATTGCTAGGCCATCGAGGCATCATCAAGACAATTTATTTTTGCTTCCTGGAATAAACGTTCTTCCGGTTGCAGTAACTGAATTAGCTACAGTTGTCCCGAGCCGTGACAGATGACGAAAATAATGTAGCTTGAATTGCAACACCTAACAAACAACAAGCCGACAATTCGTCCCAGATTCTAGCAGCAAACACTGATCAAGAGGTTATTTTAACTCCTTTTTTAAACCCAAATCATCCATCTGCTGCTAATAACCAACATCTGTTGCCCACTATTCTTGCTTCCCCTATTGAAGAAATTCCTCCAGTTCCAAAAGGATTCTTTATTAGTGGACAGGGGCATCGTAAGCTGAAGAAACGGCAGACCACCTTAGTTTTAACTTCTTCGCCTAATAAAAGGGCGCTTTAATCGAAAGTGAGCCCAGAGCTCTCCTACAGAAGAAGAGACGAAACGTCTCTAAAACGTTTGAAAACATTGATAACGAAGAAAAGAAATTTCTAATTGCAATGGTATTTCATTTATGATATAATGATATAAGCCCTGAGGAGATTGGTTACGGTACTTAATATTTAGCGTTGGGCTCAAATCGCGAAAGCCCCAAGCTTTTCATTTGTGATCTTTCTGTAATTTTGTAGTTTACTCGTGACATAAGTACAAAATCGATTTTGGCTGATTTCATTTAAAATAAAGAATATTTTGTTTTAACTTATAAGTTATAAGTTTTCCTTTATTTCAATAAATAAAGAACCTTAAATTATATCTAAATAATATGACTCTACTGTGAATTACCAATAAAAAGTTAGGATCCAAAAATAAAACCATAAGTCATATTGTATGTTTTTCTCTTACATAAAGTGTATATTATTTGATTTCCATCTTACCTTACAAGTCGTTTATGAACACCACATCTCTCAGCTACAGTGTCAATGATATCGTCAACTAATTTAGGATCTAAACGTTTCTTCGGTGGTTTGTTTGTAAATGCTGGAGATTGTTTTCCCGAAAGGCAGTGAGTCGCCAAAACTCTGTCAGAGAAAAATATTGTGTGATTTAGTTTTTTACTACTAGTTTTATAGGTTTTTACTATTAGTTTTAGATATTAAATTATGTCCAGCGATTGCTCGCGAGTCCGCTTTTAAGGCTATAAGCGACAGAATATCAGCGCTGCGGTAACTCTTTTACGCCAGGCTGAGCCACCATGCAGATATATTATGGCTGTAGCACGAAAGAGTCGATTCGGCCGGGACCGCTGCTGCTGCTGTGTTTCTTATGGTAAGTGTACAGAACCGGAGACCCTTTTTACTGGAAACGAGGCATTCGATCTCAGTTCTCAGTGGTGAAAATTAATTAATTAGTTGATGATAAATGTAAATGTCTATGGGCCACAGCATCCACTTACAATCAGGTGGACTGTATGCTCATTTGTCACCCTTATTTTATACAAAAAACTCTGTTACTGTGCTGAGTTGGTGGCCTTTTTTATACGTACATGCTATATTCATTTTTTGCTTAGTATTTTGTTAAGTTTTTTTTGTTTGTAAATTAATGTTTTGTAAAATCAAGTTCCAGCTATAAAAAAATATGTTCGTTCTTTCTTTGAACACAACAAATGGACTGTCTAATCATATCAAGGTAAGGCTTATTCGGTAAGATAAGAGGTAGCCTAGGATATAGTGTCGAAGACATGGGGACAATCACTACACAACTGTACCCGAAAACAAAGAATTTGTACCTATATGTACAAAATTTGGCCCTGACCAGAACGAGAACCCATTAACTGTGACGCCAGGCTTGCTACTCAGGCCATTTATTATTTTCAGATTTTTAAGGGACAACTAGGAAAACCAAATGCCATTTCATAGATTTTATTACTTATTATAATTATTACAGGGGAAACAGTTTATACTAAGTTCCTAATTTGAAGTATATTTGTAGGTAATCTTGTGAAAAAAATGGGAAAGTTTGTGAAAGAAATTAATAGGTATTTTAATAAGTAATATAGTTAAATATGCAATTTTTTATCTTACCATGTAAGTCAGAATGCCAGAAAGAGACAAATAAACGCAGTTAAGTTCCTCTTAAATTCTTTTGCGTTTACTGGTTCAGAATTTATCATATGAATCAACGCTCAGTCCATTATCACTCTATTGTTTTCAAGAGCTACGTACTTTAAATAATTACCTTCGTGGAAAAACGGCCTGTAGCAATTGTCTCGTAGCAGTTGTATATGACGTCCAATCCAAATCTACTAGTAATCTTGTCGGCACCAAAACGTTACCGCTTCCAATAGGTACCTTCGAATTTCATAATAGAAGAATTAACATAAAATTATGACTGCCAAAGCAGAAGATTTTTTTAAAGTTGTTTTATTTTTTTAATATTGTTTTAGTTTTTTTTAAACGTTACCCCAACATTAGGATTTTCTCCTGTATCGTGGGGGCAGTTTACAAACATAAATTTCACAAGGACAAACATCCAGACCCCGAACAACTATTTGTAGGCCATACAAATAATTGTTCCGTGCGGGATTCGAACCCGCGACCCTACTAAGCTTGCTAAGCCACTGCGCCACGGAGTCGTCGAAGAACGAAGAACGAAGAAAGGAGTCGGAGAAGTGATAAACTTATTACAAGTAATTGCGTACAATACAATAGAAATACATTTTGGGTGCATTACAACTGTAGCCGTGTAGTGGTGGTGTGAGAATCAAGTAATCCGCTGCCACATAATATCTCGTGGGTGTTGTGGCCTGAGACAGTTTCATTACAACTTATAATAATGAGGTGTTGCCAAATCCGTCAAGTCCGTCAAGTGTTGCCAAGTCTGCCAATCGTGGCAACTGTATAGTATATATTCCCCTATAAAGCAATCCATAGAGGAATGTCTAGATATCTAGTAATAGACTTTTAATAGGCTGTAACGATGATGATGATGTGGATGATTATCATTATAAGGTAAGATCTTAACATTTTGGTCATTTTAGGTTTATTAAGTACTATACAACCTGATTAAAATATTTTTTATACTCATGATTTAAATGTTTTTACCGACTACGACAAATAAAAGGTGTTCACAATTCGACTGTATTTTTTGGTTAATAAAAATATGACGAATAAAATTCGACTTTGATTCTGTGGAAATACGATTTTTTATATAGACAACGTTCTAGTTGTCACCTTAAGTTTGTGTTATAGTTTTAGTACATTTAAAGGAGTCAAATACTTAATTAAATTTTTTTAAATGTAAAAACTAACTTCATAAAACTAAAGGGCAAGGGAATTGAATATTTTCCACACAATTTGATAGCTTCTGTTTCCGGAACTTTAATTGATCGATACACTTTGTCTCAGCACCAATTTCGGAATCTATATTTAGTTGTTTTTAGTTTTTTAAAGTTGGTTATTACTTATTTTAAAGTTTTAGTTTTAATGAATCTATTCATTTTCTGTACTAATAGTTATTGAAGCAAAAAAAAAATTGGCCACTATGCCACGGTAAAAATAAAAGAATAATGATTACTATTTACAATACATTTGTGTTTGTGATCAGAGGTGAAGGAAAACACCGCGAGACAAAAGTTTAAGATATTAAAAATATTTCCAGGATGTGTCAAGTGCCGCCCGACAGACTTCATTTTACTTCAATGCATAACCTACGGTTCTAAGTTCGAATCCCAATCTTGTGACTCTGACATTGAATCCTGGACTACCTTCGATCAAAGAACGGAATTGTTAGTAAATCTGTGACTTAGAACATAAGAGCTAATCAGTGGCGCTACTCCTGGGACCGAACGACCTTGAGCGTTCGGTCCCTTACATAACGCGCTCTCGCTACAATAAATCGCGTAAGAAATACGCCCAAATTTTTGGAATTATTTCAATTAAAAAAAAGCGAACTTAAATTAAATAAAACGTGTATAATATAGATTTTTAAATTATCTATCGATTAGCGTAATCCTCAAATGATTAGAGCGTTGCCTTTAGCAACAGATGCATGTAATCAATAATTTTAGTCATTTTTTAAAATTGTATTTTAAATGTATTTATAACACATAAAACAAATTAGAACGTGGAATATGATGATAGGATATCGAACATTAATAATGTGCTTTTAGATATAGTCTATTTCTCATATCTAATTAGATAATAAGTCTCTCAAAAACGCACTATCGCAAGGTTTTGGTCGGGGTATAGCCTTACTTGCGTTTAAGACCGATTTACACTTCGACAAGTACAGTAGCGAGTTAACTTGCGAATCTGGCGAGTTAATTTTGAACCTCGTTTGAAAGGCAATAAGCGAGTTAAGTAGCAAGTTAATGATTAAGTTGAACGGGATAGCCGGCCGAGCTATTTTTCGGCGAGTTAAGTGGTGCACTCCCGCGCGTCTCCCGCTACCCGAAACTAAACTCGCCGTTTAGTTCAGTGCATAAGTTGACAGGACGCAACATTTGCGCGCCAAAACGTACAATTGTACTTTTGAAAATGAAATGAAACTCGCCACAAAGTTTGTACGGTAGTGTTTATTGAATATTTATACGTTTTATATTGAGTTTTAATAATAAAATGGACAGAAGATATCACGTATAAATTCGTACAGGAGTATTTAGAACACGAATGTTTATATAATAGTAGAAGTTTAAATTGTAAAATGAAACCTGCTGAGATGCTGCACACATGAAAATTCTTAAAAACTTCTTTAACAACAACCATTCATACTACTCTGACTAGATCATTTAATACGTAGTCCTAGAACCATCTTAAACGAAAACCGGAAAAATACTGTAGTCCTGAAACGTCATACTTTAACAAACTCTATGAACTAATGTCCTTAACTAAACTCGCCACGAAGACATAGTTTGAACGCTACTGCCCACTTTACCGTTTACTTTCAACTGCCCTGTAACTTAACTCGCTACTGTACTTATCGAAGTGTAAATCGGTCTTTATATTATTTTTTGTTGAAATCAGCATCATCGAGATTATTGTTTTTTGTTAGTAAATTAAGTAATTTTAGTCACCAGCATTTGCTGATAAATTATTACATTCCCTTTAATAAGCATTATATAAATTTTGTTTTAATTTGATATTTGGATATCTAAATAAAAAGAGTTAAAGTATGATTTAATGTAGCCGTTTTAATCATAGACTTTAGAATATACTGGCGTAGTTTTAATGAAGTGAACATTCGAAATGAAAGACCGGTTTATTTCCAATCTGTCACGACTCACGACATTTCTAGCGTATCGCGCGCTCTCGTGTGCCACTTCTTACATCTATTTTGAAGAACTTTGAACGATGATGATGAAACGTGTGATGATGAAATTTTACGTGGTAGAGCCATACTGCAGTTATATTAGTAGTGTAGTTGTAGCACGAATGAGTCGGCTCGATCGGGGAAGGACCACGCTCTCACAGAATACCAGCGTAAAATAGTAGCTTTATGCTGCTGTGTTTCGTATGGTGAGTGTAAAGAACCGGAGACCCTTTTTACTGGAAACGAGGTATTTCTATCTTAGTCCTCATGGGTGACAACGGATCTGCATTTTGATTACCCTTATTGAGTAATCGAGGATAGATGTAGATGTCTATTGGCCGCAGCAACTACTTACCATCAGGTGGACTGTGTGCTCGTTTGTTACCCTATCCTATAAAAAATTAAATATAATAATAACTCTCAGAGACACAACCCTGACTTGCTAATCGATCATTTATTTTGCTGTCCCATATCAAAACCCAGTAACCGCTTTAAACTAAATTTCAAAGGGTAATATTAAAAGGGGTCTCTATTTCTCTTCAATTAGCATTCGAAATACAACAGCATTTCTGCTGCAATTTTACGCTTTGAGAGTATGGCATCCGCCGGTTGTGCCGACCCATTCCCAATGCAACCGGATTACAACAGACACCTAGCTCTGCCGCGTGAAAAAACGCCCAAGTTAAACTTACTGTGGGCCGTTTGTATTAACTGCTGGCTGATTGATAGAATCAGGCGTTACTTTGCGGAAATCCATTATAATAAAGCTATTAATTAATTTGCAACCTTCCGCTAACTAAATACAATGATGTGTCTGGTGCGGGGATTAGTGGTGACGGGATTGGTGCATGCAATTGAAGGAGGGCGGGAGGTGCTCTTTAATCCAGGTAAGACACATCATTGTATTTAGTTAGCGGAAGGTTGCAAATTAATTAATAGCTTTATTAACTGCTGGCATATAATATAATTAAAAAAAGGGAACTTTACCATATCTGCATTATTAGTCCCAGGCTCTCCGCAAATAGTTGTGTGCGCCGATGCACGTCTCACACGCAAAACTTTTGGTTTTGATTGATTTTTCTCCTCAATCCCGACATTAGTAGTGTTTCCATTTTGTTCTACAGGTGATTCACCTTTCACTGTCGATGTTTCGTTTACAGGAGGTTCAGGGGCATACTGTTCTAGTTCCGACACCTCTGATAGAATTGACATAGCATCGTCTATGTGAACCTCTGATATCAATGAGAGGAACTGTCTGTAAAGGCGGTTGAGTACACTTTCCATCTCCTCGATTTTAGGTAATGGCGGATAAAACATCTCATTGTCTGTTTGTGTGCCTTGGTCGAAGGTAAGCTTAATATTTTCGTCATTATCTCTTCCAGGTAGTGGAGTACTGCTCACCATTGATCTGCGACTGTAGAACTTGTTGGGTTGTGTTGTAGATCGATTGTTGTAAACAGCTACAGATGATTCGGCGCACTTGTACTGAGTATTTTGTTTGACTACTGATTTATTGCAACCTAGGATATTGCCCTGCAATAAAAAAATAGAATTTTATTGAAATTGAAAATCTATCATATACACAATGATCAATATCAATCATGTATTCTTGAGAATGATGTATTCTTGGGTAGAGCTTTTAAGAGAGACATAAATGGTAGAATTTAAATTTTAAAAAAAATGTTAAATTAAAAATTAATAACAAGTGTATCGAGGAAAGGGTGAGAAATGACGCAATCATACATAGAGCAGTTTCTTTTGGTTAGATATATCAAAAAAATTTAATGTCTTACAACGGATTTTATTCATAATTATAGTAAATATTTTTACCTCTTGCTCGCTGTCCGTAGTTTCGTCAGTATCGGTGGCAGCGTGTTGGGGAGTACCAGATACACCAGGACTGGATAGTGGTGGTTGACTAGTGCTTTGATTTCCTAAATACTGTGACAAATATACAAGAAATCGAGTAAATATGTCAAATAATTCGCTAATTTATGAAATAAGTTCTTACTTTGAATAATAGTAAACTAACAAAAAGAAAAAGGAGAAATTTTGAGACAATGAGTGTAACTCAAGAACTTCTGCCTATGGTGACCATCATAAAGAGTCCTTATGTTCCCAATATAATAATAATTTAGATCTATAAATAGGGTTAGTATTTCACCGGTCATGACTTATTTATTTTTTATTTTAAGAGTCAAGCGCTGATTCTGCATGAATTTCAATGCAAACATCGTCGTGGTCGTTTACAAATGCGCGAATGATAAGTGAACAAAAACCAAAACAATATTATTGACATAATACTTTAATAACACAAACTTAACATTTTATGGCTCCTCTTCACGATCGGCCATGATGGGCGATTACACGCGAGCACGATTGTGTAGAGGGGCTAATCGCCTGTAGTTGCCCATCATCGTCCTCAATCGTCGTTGATCGTCGTCGTGATCGTGGCGATCGGTGCCTTGTCGGTTTTTCGGGCACACATCAAAGGGAATCGCTTGTAATTGCGTGCGCGTGCCCACACGATCGCCGATCATTCATTCACCGGAGGACAGCAAGCAGTGCGTACATCGCGTCGTTTTTAAGTTTTGATTGCGAGTGCGAAACAATGACTACTGGGTGGTCAAATGAAGAGACATTCAAGTTCATAGAACTATGTATATATATATATATATATATATATATATATATATATATATATATATATATATATATATATATATATATATATATATATTTAATGGTAGCTGCAGCTATAACCTCCACGTCCATCTTGAATGCTTGCCGATTACAGACGATCAACGAGTGTCGATCATGGCCGATCGTGTAGAGGCGGCTTTACTTTTACAGAATTTTATAAGGCTACCAGCTATTCAAAAGTTGATGCTAGAAGCCAAAATTATTAGTTTATTATTATTATTAGTTGAGAAATAAATTGAGTTTTGTTGCCGGGATGCTGGTTGAAGATCCGACCTTTCGCAAAAATCAAGATTTTAACTACCTGCATCCGGAATCTCATTGAAGCAGGAGATAGGTAGCAGCATCTTCTAACTAGTATCTCATTACTACTCAAAATTATAAAAAACTGAGGTTGCGTACCCGCCTGCCAAGCGTGGCAACGATGACTAAATCCCCCCCATGAGGTAATCTATGGGGGAGGCCTGTGTTCAGCAGTAGATTTTATTGCCTGTAAATAATTTATGGGTGGATAGATAAATCGAATCCTCAATTCCAAGCTCTGGTAACCCTACCAGTAAATATTTTTACTCCGTGAATGTAAAAAAATTCACGGTGTAAAAATATTTACTACCACATAGTACCCCTTTGATGTTCAAAGGGAAATAAAACAGGAGCAGAAAGCAGCATCTTCTTTATACCAATAAAAAAAAACTGCGGTTGTCAATCCGCTTGCTTATAGAAAGGCAACTACGGCAAATAGATATGTCTATTAAACATGTGTCAATCATGAATGATTCGTACGTTTGAGCTGGTACACTTAAAATTATTGATGGTTCATTTATCTATTTTTAAATGTTCCGGTACAACCAATCACATACAATTGACGGAACCTTTTTAACTCGTGATGGGTATGAATTGCGAATGCGAATCGAAAACTATTGAATGATCTGAATGAATTGTTTTTAGTGTAGGGTACTGGAGCCCTAAATGATCTATTTGAATGATCGATCCGAATATACCGGTACGCTTGACGAAATGTACTAGAATGATTCAGTCACGAGAAATGAATGATTGAAACATGTCTAATGTCTACGCCTCATATAGGAGATCCCTATAAGGCAATCTACGGTGAGGGCTATGTTCTGGAAATAGTAATGGTTATTTATTACAGGCGTATTAGTGCTTTAAAAGTGACGAGCGTATAGCGGGGTGGAGTATGGGCTTGTGTAACTAACATGCGTGCGTAACCACCGACCAAAATGTACAAAATTGTATGCGTTGCTCTACCGCGTACAATTTGTTGTTTGTGTAAATTCAATGACGCTCGAGCGGGGTAGAACCGCGCCCTACCAGCAAAAATAGCGGCTCATTGCTGCTGTGTTTCATTGAGTGTGTAGAGAACCGGAGATCCTTTTTAATGGAATCGAGGCATTGCATCTTAGTCCTCAGGGGTGGCAACGCATCTGCATTTTGATTCTCATTTGAGGATAGATGTAAATGTCTATAGGCCACAGCATTCACTTACCATCAGGTGGACTGTGTGCTCGTTAGTCACGCTTATTCTATTTTTAAAAAAATGCGCTCCTGTGTCATTACAATATCCAGCGTGGGAGTCCCAAAAATATACTTAGGTATACTGCATGCCCCGCCAAACGCTTTCCATTCAGACATTAGCCTTGTAAAGTAGCGACGATGCTATTTTGTATGGTTGGACATTTCTCAGTTTTTAATTAAATTAACGTGCCGTAAAGGGTTGTGGACTTGTGGAATATTTTTCAGCACTAGCATATTAGGTAATACAAGTTTACGATAAAGAACATAAATATAGATATCTATGGGCTACAGTACCCAGTTGCTGTGTGCTCGTTTGTCACCCGCATTCTATAAAAAAATTCTCTCGTTCGTAGTCAGTTAAAAAGGCACTCACCAAGGATCCTGACTTCATTTCCTTGATAGTGTTCATACATAATGAAACAACGTTCTTCACTTGCTCATCTTGTCGCTGAAGTAATATCTTCAGCTCTTTCACATAGTTCTTGTTATCTGCACAGTTATGACATATTTTTAATATATATCATAATATTATAAAGTATAAAGTGCCCCTAACGTAGGGCTGCCAAAAATGTTGGAACGCTATCCGGGACATTTGTTTAGAAATAGGGATTAATTAATGTAATATGTATTATATATATACATATATATATATATATATATATATATATATACATATTACATTAATAATCCATAAGCTAGTTTAATCAATAACCTAAAAACGTTAGATGTTACTGTTTTAGAAAATTCAGTTTTTGACAAGACAAACAATAAAATCATAAACCTAATTTTAAAGGGACAGGTGATGTTTTTCGCGGTATGTGGCCTGGTGCACCGGGACTTATATTGTAGCAGGGTTATCCTTGCCGACGATATAGTCCTTATGGCAGAATCGCTGGAGGACCTTAGCACTATGCTCAATGATCTCAATGGTGTCTCCCAACGGATAGGTCTTAAGATGAACATGGACAAAACAAAGATCATGTTTAATGTCCATGTCACACCTATGCCGGTAGTTGTTGGGAGCACTATGCTCGAAGTTGTTGACGAGTACGTTTACCTGGGACAAATAGTCCGACTAGGTAAGTCCAACTTCGACCGAGAGGTCAATCGACGGATTCAACTCGGCTGGGCAGCGTTCGGGAAATTACGACACATCTTCTCGTCAGGTATACCTCAATCTCTGAAAACTAAAGTGTACAACCAGTGCGTGTTGCCAGTGATGACTTACGGATCAGAGACGTGGTCCTTCACTGCTGGCCGTATGAGGACGCTCAAGGTCGCTCAGCGTGCTATGGAGAGGGCTATGCTCGGAGTTTCTCTGCGTGATAGACTGAGAAATGAGGATTTCCGCAGTAAAACCAGAGTGACTGACATAGCCCAACGGATTAGTAAGCTGAAGTGGCAATGGGCCGGCCATATAGCTCGAAGAACCGATAACCGATGGGGAAGAAAGGTTCTCGAGTGGCAGCCTCGTACCGGTAGGCGTAGTGTAGGGCGACCCCCACTAGATGGAGTGACGACCTGGTAAGACATGCAGGAAGTCGATGGATGCAGGTGGCTCAGGACCGTGCTTTGTGGCATTCCTTGGGGGAGGCCTATGTTAAGCAGTGGACTTGTGAAGGACTGTAATGATGATATCCTAGCGGAAATAAATTATTAATGTTTTACTTTGAATAATTTGTGACATAGAACAAAATGATATTTTTAAATTCGGTTCCGATCGGCTGATAACGGAAAACCTCCCAACCAAAATTCTACTGATTAGTGAAGAGAGAGGAGTATCATTTAATGCGAGATCTAGCCTTTGCGTTTGCGCTCAACTACCCTCCAGTTCGGCGTGGTTATTGGCAACTTTTTCAATAAATGCACCCGCCTTCTCGTAAATACCGATCCAGCATTTAACCTTAATAAGACTAATGGTGATGTTGACAAATATATTTGCTGTTAACTCCTGATAAAGACTGTAATTTTATTTTTATAAACTTGCATTGATTTATTTACATAATAATTAACATACATTTATATAACATATAAACATACTTTTTTTTATAGGATAGGACCCATTCGTGCTACAACTATACTACTAATGCATTTGATACTTTATTTTTTTTATTGACTAGTGTAATTGATTGATTAACGTGATTAAAACAGTGTTTTATCGTAAAGATCTCTTTTTTACAACTCTGAACAGTCTTAGGAAAACTATTGATTAAAAAGCCTTTATGTTTGAAGGGTGGTGGATTATTTTACAAAAAATACTTGGAATATGAGCGACGCGTACACATAAAGCGAATTCAAAAAGTTTCTTTGTCTTTAGCAAATACCCAAGCCTATGCATGTTTAGGTTTACTCCCGCCAAAAATGTATTGAGATCTCTATAGTCTATACTATTACTATCTATATTATGTACTTTTCAATTGTTGTTTTAATTTGGATCAAAACAGTTTCATAACATTCTTTTCAATAAAGTACCTACTTTATACAAAAATTAAATTAACACAAGAATTTTATTTCTTTCCTTCGCCGGACTTTTTGTCAGCTGGTATATCATCATGTACATAGGTACTTTTGTTATTTAAAAAACTTCGGCATTACTCCTATCAAAGGTAGATTCCCACAAATAACGAGTATACTTGTATTACATATGCAAGCATCAGGTATGATATGTGCCAATTATTTTGCAGCCCAAAATTAAAATGTGGTAAGTACCTAGGTATATAAGCTAAATTGTATATATAACTTAATGTTAAAGGCATTGAAGTATGTTGTACATGATATAATCTCAATGTTTGAAAACACTCACCGGATATCCGCAAGATCTGCGCTCGCCGAGCGCCATTGCCCTGTTTGTTCCTGATGAATACAAGCTTCCCGGTATGAAGGTCACTCTCGTTGGTAACTAGAGAATCAGAGTTCACCACACCATAGTGCGAAAAAACATTTCTTTCATCCACCCACTCAACAAGGAGCCAAAGCCGTTGGGACATAACGAACTAATATACTTTCTCTAACAGAATTTGAACAACAACTGAACGAAAAAGCCCATAGCTAAGTCTACCGCAGGTAAAAATGTGATGGTTGCAATTGAGTAGAGTCCCTAGTCTCGGCTTTCATCGACCCCAAGCCGAAAAAAAAATAACAATAGAATTTGATATCGTTTGAACAATACGTAACGGCATCTGTTATCTACTAAAATGAAAATCTTATATTATCAAGTCAACTTTGAATTAATATACCTACCTATTATTACTATATTATTAAAGGAATATTTTTTTATATATTTAATATTTATTTTATTGTGTAATAATATATTTTATATTTCCGCGAAGGAACACTTATTTTCTTACAGAATAAACAAATAGCGAATAGCCCCGGAATTCTGTCCTGTGTTTAATACTTAGCGTGTCCGTACCTCGGTCCGAATACTAACCAGATTGAATAATCGTACCAAGAAAAGAAAAAATGGTACAAATATTTATTTTATAATATTGAAATGACGAACGAGCTAACAGTACACTTGATGGTAAGTGACATTTAGCCCATGGACATCTGTAAATAACTTCAAGCTGTGAAGACCTGAGGATTTAGCTCTTTTTTATAGAAGAGGGGGAAAACGAGCATGCGCAGCATGGGAATTGCAGGTGCGTTGCCGGCCCTTTAGAAAGGAGTAAAAAGCTCTTTTCTTGAAGGTCCCTAGATCGTATCGGTCCAGAAAAATCGCCGGTGGTAAACTATTCCACACAGAGGTCGTTCGCAGAAGAAAAAATGCTTGCATATGTAAAACGACGGGTTGCACTCCGGGAGTGCCGGCGGAAGTGAAAACTTGAATATTAACGTTGTGCATTTTTGATATTTTGGAATGATTAGGGAATAATTTTGCACGAATTGTTTTAATTATAACACACGAACTGTCTCTCTCTCTCTCCATCCGTCTTACGAAATTTCGATCAGGGTGACGTGTCCTGACGCGAGTTTAACGTTTTTTACCCATTACAAAAAAGTGTACAACGCCGCTAAAGAAGTTTTCACTTCAAAAAAGCTCTTACTCTAGAGCTTACTCTCGCCTTTTAAACCTTCCAAACCGGTACCAGGTCGATTTCACAAGTCGAATTAATTTGACACTTTTTTTTCGCTTTGTGCAAATACCCGTTTTATTGTTATCTGACGGTCCATAACGTTTACTTTTATGAAGTTAATACATCAGAATGTAAAATCACGGTGCGTATCTACTCAAAAGTGACAAAAAATCAAGATCAGGGTAACACGAATGATATACCTGGGAACACGAATGAAACTCGCATAACACGAATGAAGTCTGCATGACACTAATGATATTGGCTAACTAAATCAGATACTTTACTATTATAATATTGGGTACGTAGTACTATTACGTTTTCTGTGATTAATCTTTTTTAATAATGCACAAGAAAATATGTATGTTAGCATTTTTAGGTGAGAACAAAAACAAAAACACTTTTATTAAACTTTTAATCAAAAGACATTTAAAAACAATACAAAACAAATTTTAAGAATACACGATTACGTAACATAATTATTTCTGTGATCTACAAAAATATAAGTAACAAACTTTTTGGTTATAACAACGTATAATTAATTATGTAGGCATATATTTCTCATAAAAGTATTTCTACCTCACTTATTTATTTATTCAGTCATTTTGGATAGGTAATATTATATTAATACTTAGTTAAATCTTATAGCTAGTTTCTTATTCAATCTTGTTGATTTCTTATTTTTATCATTTCAATTCTTTGATTTATTTTCGTATTAACTTAATTATGTAATCAGTCTTGATCATGTTTTAAAGTTACCATTACTTTCTATTTCTCCATTTTTCTTATTCCGTATTCTCAAAAGACCGTTCATTAATAAAGCGGAGGAAAGCCTCTTCATGCCCATTAGACACCTTCTGTAGTGTGTTTATGAACGTTTGATTTGCCCAATCAAATTTTACATCTGCAAGTCTTTTAACAGATTTTATAATTTTGCGTGTTCCGGAAGTAGACGGATTATTGTTCCGATTATAATACTGGATGGATACATCGCTCAATACCGTAATTCGTTTGCTTGGTGGAATAACTTTTATATTTTGGACAGCCGATTCGACGACACTCTTATAAATTTTATGTAATTGCATATGTTTATCCTCATGTTCGCAGATTTTATCCAAACACAAAAAACAGCTTAGTTTTCGGAACTCAAGAAATTCTGATCCAGAATTCCAGATCACTTGGTGAACTAACATAGTACCCTTGAATGGTGAAATATCCTTAGGAAGAAGAAGTTCTTTTTCTATAATTTCATGCTCCTCTACTACTTTTATCTCAACATTTTTAATATTTTCGCGAACAACTGCAAGGAATGTTGAAAAATCCCCGACGTCACGCCCACATTTAACTTGATGATCAGCTGTCCGCTTAACCACAGCGCCAATGCCGTCAGGAGCGCCTTTGCCATGACCACTTTCTTGGTAATTCCAAGTAACTAGCTTTAACGATGGGAAGGTATCGCGGAGCTGAGTCAATATGTAAAATATTTGTTTATTTCGGTATTGGCTTGTTGGACTATCTGTTAAAATGTGGGCGGTGGTAATATAAGGACATTTTTCGAACACAAATTGTAACGCCTTCTGTAAGTGTGCCCAGACTGCAGGGGAATCATGCCGTGTACATTCGCTGACCGTGCACAGACAGTGATTAACAGTCTCTCTTCCTTCTTTGAGATAAACTACAACGGTATGAAGAGATACTTGTCCCCGGCTACCCCCAAAGTGTAGACTTTGCACCTCTTCAGCAAATTTGTAACTATAATTTTCAGAAAAGTCCATGTGGAGTAATGTTTCGTCATGATTAAGGGATTCTTTCAATAGAGTAACAGCTTGATGTTGATTGAGGATGTTCACAGTATGAATAAAGAATTTCGGAAGGGAATGCTCAAGTTTAAGTATCAGGTCTTTAGGCATTATTTTCCTTGTAAATTTTTTCACTATATTTATTTCTTTGGAGCTTAATTTCTTTTTATCTCTGCACCATTCATGGTACTCGATTTCGTCCGTATTATTAAATTCATTGTACGATATAACTCTGTTTTTACAAGTTTTACAATCTCTGCCAACGCACTTTTTATTGTATTTGTCGCAACAAAGAACGTGCAGCATATCCCGGTAATTCCTTATGTCAACTATTTTATTTTTCTTTAAAGCTAAAATCATTAGATCTATATTTGTATGTGCCAGACATGCACATGTTTCCCTGTCATCTCGTGGCAAATAGACCCAAAATGGACGTAGTCTTGTAAATGTTACATAACTAATCAGTATGTTAGGATTCTCTTCAAGAAATTTTTTATGCAAATTTTTAACAGAATCCAGCAGATACCGTTTTTGTTTTATTATTCCAAATTTTTTTACATATTGTTTCTTTCCTGCACCAATGCGGCTGTTAATGTCATCTTCATAAAAACTTTTGATTAATTCTTGGATGCTATCATTGCCTTGCTTAATCTTCTGCTGAAATCTGTCTTTAAAACACTTTTTACGAAACTCTAAATTAGGTCTACGTTTCAAATTGCCAGAAGACTTTAAAATACCTTGTTCGGTTGTCGCTTCTTTGGCAGCATCAGGGCTACTAGGTGTATGAATAGGAACTTGAGTAGGTAATGCAATGTTTTCTTCCCAAACAGTATATGCCTGATGTTCTTTTATTTTATTTAATTTCTTTGTCAAAATTCTGCAGCGCTTTTGGTATTTCTTAATTAATAAGGTCATTTCTCTTTTTTTCTATTGCATGTTTTAACTGTAAGGCTTTAATTTTACTTTGGAATGTTCTTTTCTTACTTTCTTTATTTATCTCTTTTTTTTACATTTTCCTCATACAAAGGATCGGAGAACTCTTTATCATTTATTTTTGTGTGAGCTTCGAGCACTTGGGAAATGGTTACTTCTTGTATCTTCCGTTCTTGTGCTTTCTTCTCCAGGTATCGCTTCGAATTTTCTCTCCAACGCTTTCTTTGTGCTCTTTGTGCCCTTGGAGACATTTGGTTGATATTTTTTACTTTCTTCTCTCTTTTCCTTTTTAAGTAAGCCTCCTTTTTTTTAGGCCCTTTCAACGGCATATTTTTCGGGATCGCTTTTTATTCTTTTATATTTTTCCCTTCTTGCAATCCTTCTCCTTTCCAACTCATCTTCATTTTTCTTACATTTTTCTTTCACCATTTTAAACCTTAAACAATTTATCATATACTATAAGGAAAATCCATCTCATAATTTTAACAAATAAATTAATGGCACTTATCATGAAAAAAATGAGAGAAACCTCTTAAAGTTTGCAAGTAAAAGTAAGGTTTAAAAGCAAATTTGATGACACATAAGCTAAAAACAAGAAAATAATCATAACCCTTCTTTTCGTAGTCAAGTGATATACCGTTTCATTCGTGTAGCATTGCATTTCATTAGTGTTACTCAAAAAAATGACACTAATGAAGTGACACGAATGAAATTTTCAACCAACAATCTAATTTATTGCGTCGTAGAATATTCTAGACGCCATTAAGAGCCCACAAAATATCCGCGTTATTCGTTGCTAATATACGTGCATGATAAAGAATCCATTGTTCAAATACTTATTATCACACTACCATAAACACGAATGATTCAGTTTTCGTACTAAGCACAGAAATTCAATAAAAAAGCGATTTCTTACCAGAATTAACGATGCACGCGTCTGCTATCACCGACCGTTCTCGTGCCACTAGGGTACTAGGGATGTTCGATGATCATCGATGTTCGATGATCATCGATGTTAGAAATTAAAACATCGATGTTTTAACATCGATGTTGCCACATGCTAAACATCGTAACATCGATGATACCACATCTCAAACATCGAAACATCGATGTCAATGAGCCAATAATTGATTAATAAGAACTTGTGAACAATGCGAACCCGCGAAATCAATATCAACTAAATATTTCATCTCCTATTAAAGGTTTAAAATTTTGAATAATTTAGGATTCTTAAAGGCATCAATCACCTGAAAAATATCATTATGTTGTGTCAAACTCCCTCTCAAGTGTGAACCGTAATGTCACTGCTTTCGTTTTGTTATTCTGTGGTATCATTGTCACCTAATAACTATTCTACATAAATTGATATAAAAATAATGTTTTTTCTCTTGCTGTCTATACACACATAATTTTGAAACAGTATGAATATACACAATCCAATTATATTTAGCTGTTTTTTGAGCTAATGAGTTTATTTTTCGCTTGTAATTTATGAAAATAAATCACTGGGCGATTATGAGCATAGAAAATTTCACTGCATAGTGCATTTTACAGTGCATTTTATAAACGGCTGTGAAAAAATAGTGAACAAAGGTGACGGAAAAGTCTAATATTTTGTTTTTGTGACGTTTGCTAATTCGCCCTCTATAATCAGATTTTTTTTATTTCGTGATAGGAGTGGTAAATATAGAACATACGTCTAAATCATTAATTAGGTCTCATAGTAAATTTTTTCGTAGATTTTTGGTTGTATAGGAACATTTGAAGATCAAAATAATAACATTAATCATTATCGGCAAAAAATATAACAAATGAACTAAACATTTGTTAAGTTTTGCCCATTTTTTAAATTACTATTTAGAACTAAATGTTTTATAAATTTCTTTCATTTCATTAGTAATAAACTATGTATAAACTACACTATAATTTTTTTGTTTATCTAATTTTAACCTACTAATTAGGTAGGTAGTAGGTACATGTTCAATAACATCGATAATGGCCAACATCGATGTTTTAAGTACGATAAACATCGAACATCGATGTTAAGCTATCGATATCAACATCGATGTCATCATCGATGTTTCTGCAACATCGAGCATCCCTATAGGGTACTTCTTTACGTGCGTAAAAGTGGGGATAGCAGTAATGCACAGGTGTTCTTAATAACGGAACGTTTATTAAGTCGACACTAATGATTGAAAAAAATGGTCACAAAATAAAACAGAGAGAAATCGTATTATATTTTGTATTAATTTAAAACTATTAGCATAACTTAAGTATATGGTTATTAATGTGTAACCAGAGTAAAAAAATATACGTTTTCACACAGTAGTATTTTTCATAGTTAAAGTTTTGTTGAAAAATCGGGGAAATGACCGGTGACACAAATGAAAAAATAGATAGTTTCTTTTGATTATCTGGAATGTTACACATGTTAGTTTAATATTCCAAACTGTACAATATTAACATGTTATGTAAGTATCGCGTTATAAAGAAATAACGTATATTACAACAATATTAAAGGAGTTATTTCAAAAACCCACTTTTTTACGGATGGTTTGAAATCGACCCTACCAAATTGTTGAATGAATACTCTGTTGCTTTCCGCTAAAAGGGTTAGTAGGTACCTATACGTGCGGACTAGACCGAAAAAGATTGCTATTACTCATTGATTTGCTTTTGCGCTTAAAAATTAGGCACAAAAATTTAGGCTAAAATATTATTTTACAAATTATATAATAGTTCTTAAATAGCCATGTAAAAAAAAATTAAATAACCCATTAAAAATTATTTCGTTTCATCATACACTTACAATATAGTTTAATATCATAGTCATCACAGGAGCTCCCCAGGGGACGACTTGGCGCTATGTGCCAAATACAACCTTTAACTATATCAAAGACAAAAGAAATCCCCAATTTGAAATATGTCAGGGAATAGTTGTGCTGACTGCCAGAATTTCGTTAACCTAACAATCGCCTAAGTTTTAACTGCATATCATGAAACGTACTTTGGAAGAATATTTGCAAAATAAGAAAATGTCTAATCATCTATGAAATTGCTAGTTTATATGCTTCTTATTCAAGCTCATATACCCTCCTAACCAATCCAGTAATGTACGTATTGAGAGAATTTAGAGAAGGAAAGAACCAGATCAGAATTAGAAACCACTAAAATAAGAATACGTTCTATTCTATTTTCCGCGTCTGGGCTTTGATGGCTTTACGGCTTTTATTTAATCTACGACTTCGTGGGGCTGTGGCTTAGCATGAATTGCAGCGCCGAGGACTGCGGACTCGAATCCCGCACGAAGCAGGATTTTGTTAAACCTACTTTATCCAGGTCTGAATGTTTGTCCATGTGCAATCTATGTATGTAAACTGCAAAAAAAAATGATGATACTCAATTGCACCTCACATCACTTTAAAAAGCTTTTTACAATCATTCTGTTACCTTTACAATCTCATTAGCCATGTAGCCACTAGCCATGCAGCATTCCATCTCAGTCCTCAATGATAACGCGTCTTAATTTTTCATCGATAGATGTAGATGTTTGAGGGCCACAGCATCCACTAAACTTCAGATGGACTATGTGCTCGTTTACCACTCCTGTTCTCTAAAAAATCTAGATCCTTCTTAGCACTTATTCACAAAAATCAAAGACACTTTATTTGATTTCTGGACCTTGCTGTAACTGCGGTCGAAAAGACCCCATTTACCTCAGTCTTTTAATTAAATGCGACAATGCACAGACAAGGATACTATTACGAGAAATAATAAATAGTACCAATAACCCACAAGTATTAGCAACTTTCACTTTCTAAAAACTTTGTGTCGCCCATGTACAAAGAATTTATGAGCTTCGTATGGTCGTATGAATAAAAAAAATGGTTCATGAGAACTTATATAAGATTACTTACTATGCTTTAAAATATTATCACAGACTTAAGTATTCGTAAAAATATCTTGGTGGCATGGAGAAATGTAACCAATTGGAGCCTACTTTACAGTTTTTCTATCGAGAAACCCACTAATCTCAGTGGTTTAATTAAATGCGACGATGCACAGACATGGAGACTATTTCGAGAAATAATAAATAGTACCAATAACCAATAAGTATTAGCAACTTTGATTTTCTAAAAACTTTGTGTCGCCCGTGTAGAAAGAATTTATGAGCTTCGTATGGTCGTATGTAAAATAATAATCGCGTGGCTCAGTATACAGCTCACCGACTTGCTGAGCTAGTTCGTGTTGGCTCGCGGTCTGTCTGGTATAACAACGTTTTATAATCAAGGAAAGAATTTTATTTAGTCATAATTATGGAACTTTTGTTTCAATATTTACGATTGACTTTTCTACTACTACTTTTGTACTTTAATTTTTTTCAAATAATTTAGTTGGTGTTTTTAACAGATAGATACATTATTTGTATCTAAAACAATAATAATATGATCCTTATTTGAAACCATTTCGAAACCAATAAAATCCCCTGAAGAAATTTAAAAATAAAACTTCCTATTGTCGTACATAAGTGAACTTTTATTATACAATAAAAGTTGCTATAATTTTTATTGCTGTTTCAATTCATTTTGCAGATAAGCTTCTTACAGGATTTTAGAAAACGCTAATGACTTTTGTAGATTTGTGTAAACATAACTCCAGGTATAGATTATTTTCAACGAATTCTATTGTATCGTCCACTAGCGCTGATAACAAAGCTAGTTTTTTTTTTAAATATTATCCTCAGCTGGTAGACAATAAATTACCTAAAGCGCGGTGTTTTGCGACCAGTTCCCGCAGGAGGTGATTTGTAAAAGTACATACAGATGTTAAAACAGTCTTCATCGAATTCTTACATAGTTAACTTGTCTAATCTAAATTACAAGGGCTTATTTATTTTAAAGTTTGTGTTATTAAGTCCGTTTCAAAAGTGAAATAGTGCTTTAACTTGTGAGTATGACGTTATTCCTACTAATAAATATAATATCCTATTTTATAAGAAACTTGTATATATTTTGTCCATCTATTTTAAATACAAGATTACTGATGCCTTAATATTTAAAATTATACAATTTATTCATATCTCACAAAATATTTATTGATTAATTTGGATTTTCTATACAAGATGTCAGAATTATAAAATTTATTAAAAATTACCACCCATAACAATTAAAGGCTGCTAATATCATTCAGATAACGTAGGTCATCTGAATTCCGATTTTGATGTGTATGAGAGTGACAATGTTTAATAATAAAATCTTTAGAGATTTCGTTCGAACTTAAATATATTTTATACCACAATTTTGTATAATATATTATAAATAATATAATAATATGTTACAATATGTAATTTTGTATATCGACTAAATATTTTACCTAACGGTAATGTTTAGAACATCCCTTTGCAGCCGTCAGGCACCGAGACATGGTGACGTTACTTTAATTATTTTAGGGGGGGGGGGGTGCCTTGTGCCTACAATATTAATTGTCTAATAAGAGAAAGAACGACGTATATTTATCATAATACTTAATTAAAACTTTATAGTGCTAATAGAAAATGTTTCGTCGTATTTTTAAAACTATGAGATCAATTATTATTTCTTGTAATAGATATATATACCAGTAACTTCGAAATCTCTTGTAGCAACAATGCCGATGGTCACTGCGGTGACTTTGCCCGAACTTGACGCAGCAGAAGCGCTCCTTGAATTACAAGGAGAAATGAGAGAACTACAACCTGAACGATGTAAGAATATTAAAATTATGCTTTTATCATAATGTTACATTATAAAGAAAACCATATTTTTGCGAAAATGACCGCATCGGATCGGTGTTTACAGTCGGCTTTTGAGCCACCAGTGTTTATTCGTCTGAAATACACTCAAATGCCATAGATGACACTATTTACCTACAACCGACTCTATAAATTCAGTTGTTCTCACCAAAATTTATACATTTAAGTACATGTAACGATACAAGATCTTTATGTTTTAAATACATTAATTTGTAATTTTCTTTTCCCATAAAGTTATACGTATTGGAATAGCGATAATATCATTAGACTACAATGATATTATAAGACACGTATTTACTTATAATATCATTGTTAGAATAGTAAAAAGAATATCTTGTTAGAAAATGTGAGCGTGCGCGTGCGCGCGCGCGCATGCGTGTTTATGTTCGTGCACGTATGTGTTTGGATTTATATCTATGGTTTGGATGTACTATGTGTGGGTCGGAAGTCGGAACATATTTTGTGTATTTGGATCTTAAAATCCAAAATTTATTTAATAAAATATGTTTGGCTTATTTCATTACCTACATCTCATCGAAAATTAATTGCTGATTATTACTATTAATTGCTACGTTTGGTGAGCTTGTTGGCAAGAGCAGTTTTATATTTTTAGTCGTTATTAGGAAAACTCTGCTGCCCACCTCCTGATTTGTTTCCCCTGCCGCCTCTTACGACTCCCACGGGAATATATGGGTTAGTGGATATTCTTACACCGCCAATACACTGTAAACTTACAATACACATGGAATCATAATAATATGTGGCAGCGGAATCTTTTACACCCACTATACAGTATAGGATTAGACCAGCCTTAGTCCATGATGATATCTTTATCATAATATAAATATATTCATGACAGAAATACCTGTATTGAACACAACAACTTCTCAATGTATCTTACTTTATTACAGCTAATAGTTCCGCTCAAGAGGAGGTTGAAAGTTCAGCAACTACAGCCCTTTTCCTGAATAGTTTGTTTCTTAAAAGAAGAGTAAGTTTAAAACATAAATTTCTTACAATTCTGTCGAAACGTACACAGTTAATTGTATTTTTATTATAATATAACATTGCTCTTTTACAGTCGAATTTGAAATCAGCCCGTCCCGGCCCTAGTGTTCAAAAAACATCACCAAGTACGCCTTACTTAAAAAGCAACTTCCAGGTACGAGAAGAAATAAATTTTTTGGGCTCTATTTAAAAATAGTAGAAAATAAATTATAATTTTTATTGTTAATTATATTTTTTCAGTATGGTTCCAGTCGGTTTACGACAAGGCTGGAACCGCCTTGCAAGAAACGTTTGCTTCAAAAAAAACAACTGGTCAAGCCGCAAAAAGCATGTTGGTCTGAAGTCATTACTAAACCCAGACTAGATGATATTAAGGAAACTTGTGATAGAAGCACACAAACCGAAGTGGAGTATCAGCTACCTCAAATCGATAAAATGGAGTCAATTATAAAAGACTTATGTGCTAAGATTGAGACATTGGAAAATAAACTAAAAATGAAATCATCGGTTTCATCTTACGCTTCAAAAGGGCGTAACAATGTGAAATCTAAGCCTTGTGATCTAAACAGTAGCGACAGCGGCGATGAAAATGTTGCGGTTCCCCGGACGTCGTCGTCAAAACGTAAACGTTATACAATATGCGCAGATAGTGATTGGGTGAGGCAAATTAGTTAAAAGTTAATAGTTACAGCCTTAAGAACAAGGAAATATCCGCCGCACTGCCCCAATGCGTGTTGGCGAACTTCACATGTCTTCGAAATATTGTTTCTTCTTATTTCTCAGACATGCAGGTTTTCTCACGATGTTTCCCTTTACCGCCGAGCACGTGGTAAATCACCAGTGAAAATTGCAATTAACAATTTCATTGACGCCGGCGGGGATCGAACCCGAGTTGCTCGCGTACTGTGAAATTTACAGCGAACGCTTAGCCCCCCAGGCTAGCACGGCTCTTTTACTAACCGTGCGTTGAGGGTGCGAGAGAATCCTTAACCACCCCGTGGGTGCCGTAAGAGACAGAGGGAAATCAAACAGTAGAGGCTAGCAGCATCTTCTTGGCAACAACTTAAAATAATAAAAAAAACTAAGAAAAGTATAACAATAACCTCCCCCAGGTTTTGATAGTTTGTAATACATGAATGTATATTCGATTAAAACTATCTTGTTATTTTCACAATATCGTTACACGAGTACACTATACAGGTTTAAGGCTAACGACTGCTTTGCGTTGGTTTAGTGGCCGTAGTAGCGATTGTTCATCATAAGGTCCGGGTTGAATTTCCGTTTCGGGCCAAAATCATATACGTATTGGGCTTTTCTGTTAAAAAAATTCTTGGTACTCGGAGTCAGGAGCCACGCTACAGCTATAATATGGTTGTAGCACGAATGGGCTGGCTCGACCGGGGAGGGAACACGCTCTCACAGAATACCAGCGCGAAATAGCTGCTGTGTTTCGTATGGTGAGTGTAGAGATCCGGAGACCCCTTTTTACTGGAAACGAGGAATTCCATCTCTGCCCTCAGGGGTGACAACGCATCTACGTTCTGATTGTTAATCGAGGATAGATGTAGATGTCTATGGGTCACAGTATGCACTTACCATCGGGTGGACTGTGTGCTCGTTTGTCACCCTTATTCTATAAAAAATAATTGGTGGTGTTTCACTACCGTGACTCGGAAAGCATATAGAGCTGTTGGTCATGTGCCTGATCTCTCTCCGGCGTGTATTTAACTATGATAGTAGGTAAGGGAATAGAGAGCACACTGCGTTCGCGCATACTCACTGGCACTACAATCCAGTATAATATAATCAATTATATTTTAAGTTTTATATAATTTTACTGCAAAGTAAAGATTACAAATTAATATAATTATAATAGTAAAATTTATTTTATATGTTTTGTTTTATAGAAACCATCGACACACAAAATATCTAATAAAATTATTGAAGGCACTGAAATTATTATATAACAAAACAAATCGAAGAACAAAAAAGAAAACAAATGCTAATGCCGATTTGGTAAGTTGTAATTATAAATCATTAAATAAACATTTTTGGCATTCGTTGAGGAAGGCCTATGTCCAACAGTTTATAATGCAAACACGTCCATAGTTTATAAACTTTATAATGGTGATGACGATAAGTGGTCTATTTTCTGAGGATTGGATACGAAAGTTAGAGTTAGTTGAAGTTAGATACAAAAGAACATAGGCCTTATGTTCAACTGTTATGTATTGTTTATACAAAGGTGACGTTAAAAACTTAACAGGTATTTCATTTACAGGTTTCAATTGGTGATGGACATGCTTTTGTTCCTAGCAGACTTTTAAAAAATATGGATTGGTCGACTCATACGTATGCAACTCGAAAACTATTGAGAGCGGTTTTCCCTAGGAGGTAATCTGTTTTAATCCTTTAAATTCTGCCAACTTTGAAACGTTGGTATTAACATAATATAGTATTATAATAGTGTGTAAATATAGCATTTATTTATGTTTTCAGTGTGCTGGCAACACATTCTCTTACGGGAAAACCGTCACCGGCATTTCCTAATAAGCCAGCAAAGAAGCGATTGGATCCCGCACTTGTGAACGACATCGTACAAACTGTTGTTGACAATTGTTGTGTGCCAGAGAGTGTTGTTAGGTATAGCTTATATTAAAAATCCTTCTATTAATGAAATATACTGAATTTTTTGTAAGTATATATCTGAAAATAATTACAAAAACTTTTTTCAGGGCCAGTATAACGACTAAATGCGCCGATGAAAGCAAGATGTTTCGAAGTCGCTTAAGAAAAAGTAAAAGTAATTCTGCTAAAATCGATCAGGAGAATATTCCACCGTTATTCTGCAAATCAGAAGAATCTGACGAATCTTATCTATCTACTTGATTTCAAATAATGTTTCCGTGCATTAACTATTTCAATTAACTATTCAAGGTAAGATTAAATTGAAGGGATTAAACTTAGGGATCCATAAAACGTAATGTAGCTCAAGATTTATGACATTGTTTAGGATTTCAAAGTTCAAAACACAGCAGTTTTGAAATCGTTCGTTGCATTTTTAGGGTTCCGTAGTCAACTAGGAACCCTTATAGTTTCGCCATGTCTGTCTGTCCGTCTGTCCGTCCTCGCTTAATCTCTGTGACCGTTAGCACTAGAAAGCTGAAATTTGGTACCAATATGTGTATCAATCACGCCGACAAAGTGGTAAAATAAAAATGTTTTATTAGGGTAGCCCCCCTATATGTAAAGTGGGAAGTGATTTTTTTTTAATTTCAACCCTAACGTGTGATATATTGTTGGAAAGGTATTTAAAAATGAATATAGGTTTACTAAGATCAATTTTTGATATTGTCAATAATTTCGGAAATAATCGCTCCAAAAGTAAAAAACAATGTGTCCACCCCCCTCTAACTTTTGAACCATAAGTTTAGAAAATTTGAAAAAAATCTGAAAAGTAGAACTTTATAAGGACTTTCTAGGAAAATCATTTTGAACTTGGATGGAAAGTCGGAGCGCCTGCCGCGGAGCGTGCAATGTTCCACGCTCCATGTTCGCGCACGTACCCACTATCGGGAGCAGTTGCAGAAGCGCGGAGCGCTGCTGGAGCGCGAACATAATGGATACCCACCTTTAAACTCATAAGTGGGAACACTTATTGTGACGGACGGGAAACTACGGAACCCTACACTGAGCGTGGCCCGACACGCTCTTGGCCGGTTTTTTAAGTTGTAACCATTGTAAGCCTCCAAGCCTGAGAAGATTGTAAATATTTCAACGACATGTTAAATCCGCTAATTTGAGATTAGCTTTAGTATCCTGCGATTTCGTTGGTGATTTGGTCTTAATCGAATAGTACGAAAATGCATACAAAAACCTTTAAGTTTCCGCAGGGATGGGTGCTAACTCCCTCCCCGCTTACACCATAGCCGACCACTTGCATTCTTGTGCCGCAGTATACTTTAGTGGCAGACTCTATCGCATTTGGCGAAACAGTCTAGTATTATGTATGACTAACTAATTAATTACTACTACTCGCGACTTAAAAGTAGAACTTAAATACAAAATTACTTAAATTAAAAAATTTAAAAACCTCCGAAACAAAAAGAGCTGATGATTGTCAAACGGCTTAACAGAAATTCTCGCAACATAGCTAAGAACACTCACGATTAAGAGACCGTTCAAACGAAAAACCTTTATTAAATTTGGTTCCTCCATTCAGGAGCTATGATGCTACAGGCAGGCTCTGTTTTCGTCGGGGTTAAAAAACTGCAGTTCTATTACAGTAGGCTGTGCAAATAGTTGAATTGTCGAAAAACAAGGTGTTTTGTATATGCCTATCACGAAAACAACGTGTGATATGGGAAAATATTTAAAATAAAAATGTAAGGTTAATGAATTTTGCGTAATAAAGATTTTACTACGCAAAATTCGAAATAAAAAAAATATATTTCGAAGACGTGTGAAGTTTGGCAACACGCATTGGGGCAGCGCGGCGAACTGCCCTTGCCCTAAAACCATTTCAGTAGTGCGAGGAGGCCTGTGTCCAGCGGTGGGACTTATATAACTTCCGTAAAAACTAGTTTTATTTAAATTTTGCTTTACTTTTTTACTTATAAGATTTTATCACCTCGAATAATTTTGTTTCAGTATTACCTACCTGAGAAATTCAACAAGACTACTGTCATCTCTTTTCCGAGTTTGAACGTGTATGAAAATGGTTGGAAATAACACAATGAACTTTCATTTCCCGAGTTGGATCTTTGTTTGGATATTTATTTATTAACGTGGTAATAATTCGTTCTTAAATTGTTGACTTATAACCAGTGTCCGACCGAAGCTTCGGTTTTGGCCAAAAAACCACCTTCGGCCATAATAGGAGAAGTTTTGGCCGAAGCCGAAGATTTCTAGCAAGTGCCGAAATTGACCGAACTGTTACAAATGAGCGAGAGTGCGATGGACGTGGCTACGCAATTTTTATTATCTCTAGATCAATTTAAAATTACCTTTTTTATTATAGTCGATACAAACTTTTTATATAAAAAATTTATATCATTTAAATAACTTTTAATTTTAGCCAATCTTGAACTGAATTTCTTAAGGTTTTTAAGCCTTCGGCTGCTGAAGGTTGTGGCGTTAGCCGATTAATGGGTTTCGGCTTCGGTCAGAAATCGATTTTCGGTCGGAGACTACTTATAACAAAATGAAGCATTGTTAAAAGTATTAATTTTTAAATGATAGTAATATTAAAGTTAATTTGAATTTTTATAGAAGTACGTATCAACAATACTAATAATATTTGTAAGTTGAGAGTATTTGATTTTTTATTGCTGTGATGAATTTTATCGTCATATTGATGTAATGAGATTTTTAATAAATTAAAATAAATTATCAAAGAATTTAAAAGTTGTTATTATACCATACCATACCGTACGATCCGTACCATAACGGTCTTAAAAGTCCACTGCTGAACATTATGCACCCACAGATTGGCTTATAGGGTCGACCCTGCTATAGTTGGCACGCTTGGCGGGCGGGTTGGCAGTTGTTTGTTTCGCGTTGTTATCAGGAAGATACTGCTGCCCATCCTCTGACGTCTCTTATGCCGTCCCACGGGACGAATTGGGATAGCGGCTGTTCTTAAACTACACGGTTAAAAAGTAAATTTTAATGCAACACAATAATTTTACTTCAATGAAGATAGGACATCTAGGAGGAATTTGACAGCCCGGAATGCTGTTCTTGCATTATCGTTTAAAATAATTGAAGCGGCATGCGGCATTGCATGCGTAAGAGTTATTATTATGTGTTAATGCTGGCAAAAGAGCGCCGTTGTATCGCAAAATTATAATGATCACTTTTGGGACATTGACATTTTTAATAACAGTGCTAACTCCTATAGAAGCAAAGTGATTAATAAGCTTATGAGTCGTGTTAACTAAAAACTAAATAAAATAAATCAAAACATAATTTAAATTATATAATTTTTTGAAATCAAAACTAAAATGTGAACATTTTTTTTCATTTTGTAATATTGCATTTTATGTAGTAAGTCCTCCTTCACATATCTCACTGTTGTAGTTTATCCTATAAATCATTATCTGAGGCTGGTGGTGTTGGCTTCACTAAACTCAAATTTTAGGATTAAGACTGTAGTTATTAAGCCTCTGTTGAAGCTGTTTACTGGTCCTTAAATAAACTAAAAAAAAAGAGTGGTGCGATGAAATGTCTGCGCACGTTTGTTAGAAGAAACTTGCAAGAAATGCTTTGATGGCGAGACGCTGCACCCTCAATAAATACATATAAACGTAGGATTGAGGCACATTTATTTAGAATTACTTGATTAACGTTATTTGTTTATATAGGTATAATTTCCTATACTAGATTATATTATGTGTTTTATTGGTACCAATCTTTTCGTTTGAGTGCAATAAAGAATTATCTATCTATCTATCTATTAGCACTGTGGTGTGGTGTGGCATCTGTGGTGCCCATCGGAGGCAGATCCCAGTCCTGGTTCGGTCACTCCTGTAAAACTGCATCACGCTATAAGCAGAAGTGCTCCATACCGATACTACACTGTCGCATTAGGTAATTACTGTTACGATAATTGTTGGTCTAGTTTATAAAAATAAAAAATAAATATACCATTTGTCACGTTGTAGACGTGGACCCGCGATTACAGTACCACATCTCTAGCATCATTGACGCTGGTCACTGTCGCCTCTCTGGGTGTTCACATCTAACATACGAGTATACGTGTCAGTATACCGTAATAAATTAGAATCCCGTAACAAGTCTCAGTCTTTCTTACCACTAAGCAATATTCACAGCTACTGGATGATGGACGGATAGGGTTATAAAATATAGACTTTCATCTTCTTAAGAGTATACCTTGAAAATTAGTCGTAGTTTTGGGGGCGTGGCTTAGCTCTTTGTCGGTGAAGCTCATTGACGATTGAGGGAGTGTCAAAATCACGGAGCAAATTATTTGCTCCGTGGTCAAAATGACAGTGATGCTATCTCATATCACAGAAACAACTGTTATTTTTATGATCTGAGGATGCAATGTATTTCATGTACGCAAATTATGAGATGTACGCGCTCGGAAATAAACCAAGTAAGCGCCACACAACGTTGTTTTCTAAGAAATATTCTTCTTAGAAAACAACGTTAGAAGAGAACTTAGATAAGATTATTTACTATGCTTTAAAAATATTTGCACAGACTTAGGTATTCGCAAAAATATTTTATTGGCATGGAGACAGATAACCAATTGGAGCCTACTTTACAGTTTTTTTTTTTCTATCGAGAAACCAACTTATCTCAATGGCTTAATAATGCGACGATGCACAGACATGGAGACTATTTCGAGAAATAATAAATAGTACCAATAACCAATAAGTATTAGCAACTTTGATTTTCTAAAAACTTTGTGTCGACCGTGTACAAAGAATTTATGAGCTTCGTATGGTCGTATGTAAAATAATAATCGCAAATAAAAGGTTCTGTGTTCGAAGCTCAAAGCGAATTAGGTAGGTCTGTACTAGTAGTGATAACAACGTTTTACAATCAAGTGGTAAAAAGATGTACTTATTTATATTTAATCATAACAAATAAACTTATAATTTATGGAAATCGAAAAGGCAAGACCTAAAAAAGGTTCTGTTTTTGAATATTTACAGAATTGTGAAACTTTCTACCCAATTAAACTACTACTTTTGTACTCTTAATGGTCTCTTATAATTTTATAATCGAAAAATTTAATTTAGTTGGATTTTTTCAATATTTAACAGAAATAGATACATTATTTGTATCTAAAACAATAATAATATGATCCTTATTTGAAACCATTTCGAAACCAATATATTCCGCCGGAGAAATTTAAAAATAGAACTTCCTATTGTATTAAGCGAATTTTTATTAAAAAATTAAAGTTGCTATAATATTTATTGCTTTTTAAATTCATTTTGCAGATAAGTTTCTTACAGGATTTTGGAAAACGCTAATGACTTTCGTAGATTTCTATAAACAATAACTCCAGGTACAGCTTATTTTCAACGAATTCTATTGTATCGTCCACTAGCGCTGATAACAAAGCTAGTTTTTTTTTAAATATCTTAACTCAGCTGGTAGACAATAAATTACCTAAAGCGTGGTGTTTTGCGACCAGTTCCCGCAGGAGGTGATTTGTAAAAGTACATACAGATGTTAAAACAGTCTTCATCGAATTCTTACTTAGTTAACTTGTCTAAATTACGAGGAGTTATGTATTTTTAAGTTTGTGTTTTAAGTCCGTTACATAAGTGAAACCTAGTGCTTTAACCTGTGAGTATGACGTTATTACTAAATATAATATAATATATATAATATTCTATTTTATAGGAAAATTGTATATATTTTGTCCGTCTATTTTAAATACTAGATTACTGATGCCTTAATATTTAAAATTATACAATTTATTCATATCTCTCAAAATATTTATTGATTAATTTGCATTTTCTATACTTATTTATACAAGATGTCTGAATTATAAAATTTATTAAAAATTACCACCCATAACAATTAAAGGCTGCTAATATCTTTCAGATAACGTAGTTCATCTGAATTCCGATTTTGATGAGTATGAGCCTGACAAAGTTTAATAATAAAATCTTTAAAAATTTCTTTCCAACTTAAATATATTTTATACCAAAATATTGTATAATATATTGTAATATATATAATATGTTAAAATATGTAATTTTGTATATCGGCTAAATATTTTACCTAACGGTAATGTTTAATACATCCCATTGCACCCGTCAGGCATCGAGACATGGTGACGTTACTGAAATTATTTTAGGGGGTGGTGCCTACAATATTAATTGTCTAAGAGAAGGAACGACGTACATTTATCATTATACTTACTTAATTATTTGAACTTTACGGTACAAACAGAAAATGTTTCGCTATATTTTTAGAACTATTAGATCCATTATTATTTGTAATATATACCATAACTTGGAAATCTCTTGTAGCAACAATGCCGATGGTCACTGTGGCGACTTTGCCCGAACTTGACGCAGCAGAAGCGCTCCTTGAATTACAAGGAGAAATGAGAGAACTACAACCTGAACGATGTAAGAATATTAAAATTATGCTTTTATCATAATGTTATATTATAAAGAATTTCATATTTTTGCGAAAATTAGAATACCCAATCCTTGCTTTGCGACACACCCAGAATGTTGACTCTATCACCGCATCCAGATCGGTGTTTATAGTCGGCTTTTGAGCCACCAGTGTTTAACCGTCTGAAATAGACGCAAAGGCCATTGATGACAATAATTACATATATAAATCAATGATAATTACCTACAACCGACTCTATAAATTTAGTTGTTCTCACCAAAATTTATACATTTAAGTACATATAACGATACAAGATCTTTTTGTTCTAAATACATTAATTTGTTTATGTTCGTGCACGTGTGTGTGTGTGTGTTTGGATGTACCATGTGTGGGCCGGAACATATTATGAGTATTTGGATGTTAAAATCGAAAAATATTTAATAAAATATGTTTTGGCGTCATTCATTACCTATCTCCTTCATAGATTTTCCCAAAAGATGGATATTTGCTACGTTTGGTTGGTTGGAGCTTGTTGGCAAGAGCAGTTTTATATTTTTAGTCGTTATTAGGAAAACTCTGCTGCCCACCTCCTGATTTGCTTCCCCTGTCGTCTCTTACGACTCCCACGGGATGATATGGGATAGCGGATATCCTTACACCGCCAATACACTGTAAACTTACAATACACATGGAATCATAATAATATGTGGCAGCGGAATCTTTTACATCCACTATACAGTATAGGATTAGACCAGCCTTAGTTCATGATGATATCTTTATCATAATATAAATATATTCATGATGGAAATACCTGTATTGAACACAACAACTTCTCAATGTATCTTACTTTATTACAGCTAATAGTTCCGCTCAAGAGGAGGTTGAAAGTTCAGCAACTGCAGCCCTTTTCCTGAATAGTTTGTTTCTTAAAAGAAGAGTAAGTTTAAAACATAAATTTCTTACAATTCTGTCGAAACGTACACAGTTAATTGAATTTTTATTATAACATAACATTGCTATTTTACAGTCGAATTTGAAATCAACCCGTCCCGGCCCCAGTGTTCAAAAAACATCACCAAGTACGCCTTACTTAAAAAGCAACTCCCAGGTACGAGAAGAAATAATTTTTTTTGGGCTCTATTTAAAAATAGTAGAAAATAAATTATAATTTTTATTGTTAATTTTATTTTTTCAGTATGGTTCCAGTCGGTTTACGACAAGGCTGGAACCGCCTTGCAAGAAACGTTTGCTTCAAAAAAAACAACTGGTCAAGCCGCAAAAAGCATCTTGGTCTGAAGTCATTACTATATCTGGATTAAATGATATTAAGGAAACTTGTGATAGAAGCACACAAACCGAAATGGAGTATCAGTTAACTCAAATCGATAAAATGGAGTCAATTATAAAAGACTTATGCGCTAAGATTGAGACATTGGAAAATAAACTAAAAATGAAATCATCGGTTTCATTTTACGCATTAAAAGGGCGTAACAATGTGAAATCTAAGTCTTGTAATCTAAACAGTAGCGACAGTGGCGATGAAAATATTGCGGTTCCTCGAACGTCGTCGTCAAAACGTAAACGTTATACAATATGCGCAGATAGCGATTGGGTGAGGCAAATTAGTTAAAAGTTAATAGTTACAGCCTATATACGCCCCATTGTCTGGCGTAGGCCACCTCTCATTTATGACAGGGCTTAAGAACAAGGAAATATCCGCCGCGCTGCCCCAATGCGTGTTGGCGAACTTCACATGTCTTCGAAATATTGTTTGTTCTTATTTCTCAGACATGCAGGTTTTCTCACGATGTTTCCCTTTACCGCCGAGCACGTGGTAAATCAGCACTGAAAATTGCAATTAACAATTTCATTGGTGCCGGCGGGGTTCGAACCCCAGGTGCTCGCGTACTGTGAAGTTTACAGCGAGCGCTCAGCCACTGAGCTAGCACGGCTCTTTTACTAACCGTGCATTGAGGATGCGAGAGAATCCTTAACCACCCCGTGGGTGCCGTAAGAGGCGACAGGGGGAATCAAACAGGAGAGGCCAGCAGCATCTTCTTGGCAACAACTTAAAATAAGAAAAGTATAACAAAAACCTCCCCCAGGTTTTGATAGTTTGTAATACATGAATGTATATTCGATTAAAACTATCTTGTTATTTTCACAATATCGTTACACGAGTACACTATACAGGTTTAAGGCTAACGACTGCTTTGCGTTGGTTTAGTGGCCGTAGTAGCGATTGTTCATCATAAGGTCTGGATTGAATTTCCGTTTCGCTCAGGGGTGACAACGCATCTGCGTTTTGATTGTTAATCGAGGATAGATGTAGATGTCTATGGGTATGCACTTACCATCGGGTGGACTGCGTGCTCGTTTGTCACCCTTATTCTATAAAAAAAAAGTTGGTGGTGTTTCACTACCGTGACTCGGAAAGCATATAGAGCTGTTGGTCCTGTGCCTGATCTCTCTCCGGCATGTATTTAACTATGATAGTATGTAAGGGAAAGCACACTGCGTTCGCGCATACTCACTGGCACTATAATCCAGTATAATATAATCAATTACATTTTAAGTTTTATATAATTGTACTGCAAAGTAGAGATTACAAATTAATATGATTATAATAGTAAAATTTATTATATATTTTTCATTTTATAGAAACCATCGACACACAAAATATCTAATAAAATTATTGAAGGCACTGAAATTAATAACAAAACAAATCGAAGAACAAAAAAGAAAACAAATGCTAATGCCGATTTGGTAAGTTGTAATTATAAATCATTAAATAAACATTTTTGGCATTCGTTGAGGAAGGCCTATGTCCAACAGTTTATAATGCAAACACGTCCATAGTTTATAAACTTTATAATGGTGATGATGATAAGTGGTCTATTTTCTGAGGATTGGATACGAAAGTTAGAGTTAGTTGAAGTTAGATACAAAAGAACATAGGCCTTATGTTCAACTGTTATTTATTGTTTATACAAAGGTGACGTTAAAAACTTAACAGGTATTTCATTTACAGGTTTCAATTGGTGATGGACATGCTTTTGTTCCTAGCAGACTTTTAAAAAAATATGGATGGGTCGACTCATACGTATGCAACTCGAAAACTATTGAGAGCGGTTTTCCCTAGGAGGTAATCTGTTTTAATCCTTTAAATTCTGCCAACTTTGAAACGTTGGTATTAACATAATATAGTATTATAATAGTGTGTAAATATAGCATTTATTTATGTTTTCAGTGTGCTGGCAACACATTCTCTTACGGGCAAACCGTCACCGGCATTTCCTAATAAGCCAGCAAAGAAGCGATTGGATCCCGCACTTGTGAACGACATCGTACAAACTGTTGTTGACAATTGTTGTGTGCCAGAGAGTGTTGTTAGGTATAGCTTATATTAAAAATCCGGCTATTAATGAAATATACTGAATTTTTTGTAAGTATATATCTGAAAATAATTACAAAAACTTTTTTCAGGGCCAGTATAACGACTAAATGCGCCGATGAAAGCAAGATGTTTCGAAGTCGCTTAAGAAAAAGTAAAAGTAATTCTGCTAAAATCGATCAGGAGAATATTCCACCGTTATTCTGCAAATCAGAAGAATCTGACGAATCTTATCTATCTACTTGATTTCAAATAATGTTTCCGTGCATTAACTATTTCAATTAACTATTCAAGGTAAGATTAAATTGAAGGGATTAAACTTAAGGGATCCATAAAACGTAATGTAGCTCAAGATTTATGACATTGTTTAGGATTTCAAAGTTCAAAACACAACAGTTTTAAAATCGTTTGTTGCATTTTTAAGTTGTAACCATTGCCGTGTAGTGGCGGTTGAGAATATCCACTACCCCATATCTTCCCGTGGGTGTCGTAAAAGGCGACAGAGGGAGAGGAGACAGGCAGGAGATGGGCAGCAGCATCTTCCTGATAACAACTGTGACGTAATAAAAAACTGCGGTTGCCAACCCTCTCGCCAAGCGTGGCAACTATGGCAAATACCCCCCAATGAATAAATACACAAACAGACGGCCCCCAGTCCCCGGCGGCCCCGCTATTCCTGGCTACGGTGGCGACCATGGTAATGGCGGGGCAGGGGGTGCTAAGAATCTCCGGTGGAGGTTCGGTTGCCACCTACGACGACTCGACCTGGCAACATATAACGCACGCACCCTGAGGACTGACGAGAAGATACTAGAGCTGGAAGAAGAGGTAGACAAGTTGCGCTGGCATATTATTGGATTATCCGAGGTCCGAAGAGAGGGGGAGGACACGGCAATCCTCGAGTCCGGTAACTTGTTCTATCACCGGGAGGGCGACCATCTGTCCCAAGGAGGTGTCGGATTTATCGTCCACAAGTCTCTCGTCAACAACGTTGTAAAGATTGGGAGTGTGTCGACGAGGGTCGCGTACCTGATACTCAGAATCACCAAACGGTATTCGCTGAAGGTCATTCAGGTTTACGCACCAACCTCGGCACATCCCGATGAGGAGGTGGAGGAAATGTATGAGGATATTTCCAGAGCCATACATTCCTCCAAAACCCACTACACGGTGTTGATGGGAGACTTCAACGCAAAACTAGGCACAAGAGAAAGCGGTGAGCCGAAGGTAGGGAAATTTGGAGTAGGGCAACGGAACCGAAGGGGCCAGCAGCTGGCCGACTTTATGGAGAAAGAGGGACTCTTTATGATGAACTCTTTCTTCCAGAAGCGGCCCCACAGGAAGTGGACCTGGTCGAGCCCCGACGGTTCGACAAAAAATGAGATTGACTTCATTATGACGACCAGACGCCAACTGTTCAGTGATGTCTCAGTGATCGCAAGGGTGAAAACTGGCAGCGATCACCGAATGGTTAGAGGCACACTGAACCTAAACGTTAAGTTGGAGAGGTCTCGTCTAATGAAGTCAACGCTCCGTCCCCCTCGTGCTCTAATCCAGAATCCCGAAACCTTTCAGCTCGAGTTACGTAACCGCTTCCAGTGCCTAGAAGATTGCAATGCAGTGGACGATATGAACGACAAGCTCGTGGAAACTGTCCATGCGGTCGGAGCTAAGTTCTGCAAGACCCGCCGCAGAAGAACACAAAAACTCTCCGATCACACTCTTAATCTCATGGCTGTTAGACGGGAGATGAGGCTGCAATCGTCAACAGATTTGACAGCATACAGGCAACTGAACAGACAGATCTCCAAATGCATGCGGCGAGACTTACGCAACTTTAATACCTCTCGTATTGAAGAAGCGATCGAGCGGAACCAGGGCTCCAAAGTCTTTGCCAGAGATCTGTCTGCCAGAAAGAGCCAACTGTCAAAGCTGAAGACTGAGTGTGGCAACATCGTTTCCGGGACACCTGAGATTTTGAGTGAGATTGAGAGGTTCTATGGGCAGCTGTACACATCATCGTTGGAGCCACACGCAAGTGTGAGTAACGATCCAAGAGCAAGTCTTATCCGACACTATTCCGATGATATCCCGGACGTCAGTCTGAGCGAGATTAGAATGGCTCTCCACCACCTTAAAAACGGCAAGGCCCCGGGCGAGGATGGAATTACAGCGGAGCTTCTGAAAGCGGGTGGAAAACCGGTACTTGAAGTCCTTCGGAAGCTCTTCAATTCCGTCCTCCATGGTGGCACTACTCCCGAGGCGTGGAGCAGAAGCGCGGTGGTTTTGTTCTTTAAGAAAGGCGACAACGCTCTCTTGAAGAACTACAGACCGATTTCCCTTCTGAGCCGCGTCTACATGCTATTTTCGAGAGTCATTACGAATCGTCTCGCACGCAGACTCGACGACTTCCAGCCTCCCGAACAAGCCGGTTTCCGAAAAGGCTTCAGTACCATAGACCACATACATACCCTGCGGCAGATTGTACAGAAGACCGAAGAGTACAATCTGCCACTTTGCCTGGCATATGTGGACTATGAGAAAGCCTTTGATTCCGTCGAAATTTGGGCGGTGCTACAGTCCCTTCAGCGGTGCCAAGTTGACTGTCGGTACATCGAAATGCTGAAATGTTTGTACAGTAGGGCTATGATGGCTATCCGAGTACAGAACCAGAGTTCGAAACCTATCCAACTGCAGAGAGGTGTAAGACAGGGTGATGTTATATCCCCGAAACTCTTCACCGCTGCGTTGGAAGACGTTTTCAAGCTACTGGACTGGAAAGGATACGGTATTAACATCAATGGCGAGTACATCACTCACCTTCGATTTGCCGACGATATAGTCATTATGGCAGAATCGCTGGAGGACTTAAGCATTATGCTCAATGACATCAATAGTGCCTCCCAACGGATAGGTCTTAAGATGAACATGGACAAAACAAAGATCATGTTTAATGTCCATGTCACACCTATGCCGGTAGTTGTTGGGAGCACTATGCTCGAAGTTGTTGACGAGTACGTTTACCTGGGACAAATAGTCCGACTAGGTAAGTCCAACTTCGACCGAGAGGTCAATCGACGGATTCAACTCGGCTGGGCAGCGTTCGGGAAATTACAACATATCTTTTCGTCAGGTATACCTCAATCTCTAAAAACTAGATTGTACAACCAGTGCGTGTTGCCAGTGATGACTTACGGATCTGAGACGTGGTCCTTCACTGCTGGCCGTATGAGGACGCTTAAGGTCGCTCAGCGAGCTATGGAGAGGGCTATGCTTGGAGTTTCTCTGCGTGATAGACTCAGAAATGAGGATATCCGCAGTAAAACCAGAGTGACCGACATAGCCCAATGGATTAGTAAGCTGAAGTGGCAATGGGCCGGCCATATAGCTCGAAGAACCGATAACCGATGGGGAAGAAAGGTTCTCGAGTGGCAGCCTCGTACCGGTAGGCGTAGTGTAGGGCGACCCCCCACTAGATGGAGTGACGACCTGGTAAGACATGCAGGAAGTCGATGGATGCAGGTGGCTCAGGACCGTGCTTTGTGGCATTACTTGGGGGAGGCCTATGTTCAGCAGTGGACTTGTGAAGGGCTGTAATGATGATGATGATGATGATGATGATGAACCATTGTAAGCCTCCAAGCCTGAGAAGATTGTAAATATTTCAACGACATGTTAAATCCGCTAATTTGAGATTAGCTTTAGTATCCTGCGATTTCGTTGGTGATTTGGTCTTAATCGAATAGTATGAAAATGCATACAAAAACCTTTAAGTTTCCGCAGGGATGGGTGCTAACTCCCTCCCCCGCTTACACCATAGCCGACCACTTGCATTCTTGTGCCGCAGTATACTTTAGTGGCAGACTCTATCGCATTTGGCGAAACAGTCTAGTATTATGTATGACTAACTAATTAATTACTACTACTCACGACTTAATAGTAGAACTTAAATACAAAAAATAACTTGAATTAAAAAATTTAAAAACCTCCGAACGGCTTAACAGAAATTCTCGCAACATAGCTAAGAACACTCACGATTAAGAGACCGTTCAAACGAAAAACCTTTATCAAATTTGGTTCCTCCATTCAGGAGCTATGATGCTACAGGCAGGCTCTGTTTTCGTCGGGGTTAAAAAAACTGCAGTTCTATTACAGTAGGCTGTGCAAATAGTTGAATTGTCGAAAAACAAGGTGTTTTGTATATGCCTATCACGAAAACAACGTGTGATATGGGAAAATATTTAAAATAAAAATGTAAGGTTAATGAATTTTGCGTAATAAAGATTTTAATACGCAAAATTCGAAATAAAAAAAATATATTTCGAAGACATGTGAAGTTTGGCAACACGCATTGGGGCAGCGCGGCGAACTGCCCTTGCCCTAAAACCATTTCAGTAGTGCGAGGAGGCCTGTGTCCAGCGGTGGGACTTATATAACTTCCGTAAAAACTAGTTTTATTTAAATTTTGCTTTACTTTTTTACTTATAAGATTTTATCACCTCGAATAATTTTGTTTCAGTATTACTTACCTGAGAAATTCAACAAGACTACTGTCATCTCTTTTCCGAGTTTGAACGTGTATGAAAATGGTTGGAAATAACACAATGAACTTTCATTTCCCGAGTTGGATCTTTGTTTGGATATTTATTTATTAACGTGGTAATAATTCGTTCTTAAATTGTTGACTTATAACCAGTGTCCGACCGAAGCTTCGGTTTTGGCCAAAAAACCACCTTCGGCCATAATAGGAGAAGTTTTGGCCGAAGCCGAAGATTTCTAGCAAGTGCCGAAATTGACCGAACTGTTACAAATGAGCGAGAGTGCGATGGACGTGGCTACGCAATTTTTATTATCTCTAGATCAATTTAAAATTACCTTTTTTATTATAGTCGATATAAACTTTTTATATAAAAAATTTATATCATTTAAATAACTTTTAATTTTAGCCAATCTTGAACTGAATTTCTTAAGGTTTTTAAGCCTTCGGCTGCTGAAGGTTGTGGCGTTAGCCGATTAATGGGTTTCGGCTTCGGTCGGAAATCGATTTTCGGTCGGAGACTACTTATAACAAAATGAAGCATTGTTAAAAGTATTAATTTTTAAATGATAGTCATATTAAAGTTAATTTGATTTTTTATAGAAGTACGTATCAACAATACTAATAATATTTGTAAGTTGAGAGTATTCGATTTCTTATTGCTGTGATGAATTTTATCGTCATATTGATGTATTGAGATTTTTTATAA